AGTGATGTATCGATTTGTCAGCGGGTCCCTGTGGCTCAACCACTGCACCGGGAGACTGCCACCGAACTGGGGGGGGGGACAAATGGAAGGATTAAAAGTAAAAAAGAGAGATGATGTGGGAAAACAAGTGGAAGCAATAGAAACCAGCCTAAGGAAAAGAGAAGTAAAGGAGGGAGAGATGGAAGAAGAAACCATGGTGATGGGTGGGGAGGACTGACTGGCAGTAGTTAGGGAGAAATGGCTGTTCTTGGAGTGATGGAATAAGTGTAAGAAGACAAGGGCCAGGCGGAGCTAGAGACAGACAGAGGGAGGAAGAGAAGAGTTGAAAATACATTTCCTTATCAAACTGGATGGCCCTCTCCCTCCTACTGCAACCCCCATTTCTTTCATGTCCTCTGTTGACCTTTCCTTAATTTCTATCCTCTACCTTCTCAACCCCTCTGTTCTTTATATTTTCTCACTTCATCTCCCTCTCTCCTCCCCTCCATTATAACTTCCTCTGGCTGAACCTTTTGTCCAGGGCACACTGTACTTCCATCTCTAGCATATGGGGTCATTTAAGTATAGATGAGGCCCATAACCTTGAAAGTTATATCAAGGCACAATTAAGTTAAAGCTGGGCGACATGTGAGGACATGGCCACGGAGAAATAATAACACTGTCCAAAGAAGAAGCAGGGTTTGGGTTAAAGAAAATATGAGCATAAACAAGATTTATTATATTCTGCTATTTGCCTGCAAAGTTATTCCATACCTGTGCTATGTGACATCCATTCACAGCCCGGGACTAATAGCGTAGGCACATACAGCCATCGATACAACTTACAAGCTATGAGGCATTTTTTATGTTTCACAATGACAACACATATTCTCCTTCACCTGTAATGAGGTGGCACGACTGCAACCAACAACATAGGACAGGATTAGATGGCAAATATGCCTATGGCCTGACAAGCACAAAAGTAAAACAAGCTGCTTGTTCATACAGCTGCAAGCTACACAGAATACTTGAAATATAAATGAGTGCGCTTCATTTCTTTTTTCGGGGGGGGGGTCAAAGGGTCAAAGGTGACCGTGGTGGTTAAGCACTCTCTGCATCAATACATACATACACAGACACAGTGCCAGACCTGGGGGTTAACAGGATATAGTCATACTGTTATTTTAATATTACGTAATGTAGGAGTGTTTTATAACCACAGTAACATGCTTTTGTTTTTTTGTCTTCCTTTAAATAGTCACTTATCATCCACATTAAATCCACTGAGGGGTGAAGTGAAGAGGACTCATACAAATACGCTGCATTGTTGGGAAACATGGGTCCTGGCACCAATTTGGATGCTTTCAGACAGGATTGCTGAAGACCCTTCTAAGTTTCTTCTGGGATCATAAATTTTATGGAACAAAACCTCATAGATGGTAAGGATGTGTTGCTGCCATCCTGTCGCCCAGTCCCTAAGTTTATTCTCACGAGGAAGGGCATCTTTATAAAAATTCACCGTGCCTAGCCATCTATCTTCGGTAAGTCTGATGTAACTCTCCAACACATATTCTCAAGATCAGATAGGAGAGACACCATTTCAGGTACAGATTAAGAAACTAATCTCAGAGGATATTCTGTCAGTTTGACACCTTTAAGGCTTTCAGCAAAATGGAGAGGCCTCCTCTAAATGCATAATCCTCTACACCTACAGGAGATTTTCGACTGATGTGTTTGACAGCACTCTCCACTACAATCATCAAAACACCAGATGATGGACTATCATTTAGAGGGTGCTTTCTTCCCTGCAGTAGAGTTCCAGACAATCAATGTCAATGTGCAACGAAGCAGTTTTGGTAGCAGTTCTGGTGGTGAGCCAACACCTTAATATATCAGTTTCTGCTGTTTTTTGCTTTAATCTGCCAAACGTCTCATTTTGTACAAAAGTAGCATCCGTGACACCAAAGGGCTGCACGTGTGGCTCACACTAGTTTACTCTTATCTCACTTTTAAATCTGGGCTCACGCCTCCTTATTAGTTTGTTCAATGACTGTTCAAAATAACATTCAGGGAACACTGGTAATGTCACTAGTCCTTTAATTGGCTATTTAGCTGCAACATCCTAAGTGGTAAACACAGACAAGTATCACCTTAATTTGTTTACATGCCAATGCGCTACTTCGAGGCAATTCTTCACTACCACTGCTAACAGCATTTTGTCTGCCCATGACATTTTGGCAATAGGGCAAGTTTATTTTATCAATATAACTAATTTATTGTCAATAGCTTTTTAAAAACTTTAAACGCTGAACACATTCAAATTTTTTTTTTCTTCCTAACTGTCATTTCCCTGATTGTATACTTCTTTTTCATCCTTCCTTGCTGACTCTTCCCAACCCCAATCTAGATGACCACAGAACAATTAAAAAGAAATTAAAGACTACATACGTCAGCATTTAATATTACAAATGCGTCCACTAACACTTCATAAAAAGTGGCGAATGAGTAGAGTAAATAACACTCTTAAATATTAGTGCCTTTTCTGCAATTTTGCCCATTTCTCAGTTTCTTTGTGGACTCAAAATGTTGCTTGCGTATGCAGCTGCCATCCTTCGTGGCACAATAAAGGCGACTTGTGAGACTCTGTAAACAAGAAAATCTTTTCAGGGCATTCTGGGTGAGGAAATTGGAGTGGGTTTTCATCAGAAGACAAGCGAGGAAGATATCTGGAAGCGGATCAAAATTCTTCCACGGTACAACCCAATGAAAATAGCCACTAAAACAACAAAAACATGTACACTTAAAGAAGAAGAAGAGACAGTTAAAGACGGGGAGGGAGAGCTGTAGCTGAACCAGTGACCAGTTTCAACTGTTTTTTGGGTTAGAGCTAAAGATTGAAATTAGTATTAAAATAATGTATCAGAAGTCAACGTGAAAACAAAAGAAAAAACAAAACTTGTGAATTTACCCCTAAGAATTATTTAAATGATGAGTTACTTTCATATTCTGGCATTTTGGTATTCCTGTTTTTTGTAATGCACCCAGTCTGAACTCCAGTTCCTGAGAAGGGTCAGTTAATATAGTGGAGTTAAATGTCAACTCCTCCAGTTTCACTGTCTTTCTGACAGCATCAACATCACACACAACTCCAAATCTTACAAAGGTCAGCTCTCTTTTTCGTCTTCCTGTTTGCATGCATGTGTGTGTCTGTGTGCGAGGGAGAGGAGGAAGAGAAAGAGGATCGAGAGGAAAGGAGTGCAGAGATCTCAGAGTTGTTTAAACCCAGCCTAGCAGTTCGATATCCATCAGATTTATGTCTCTGTTATTTTCCTCTCCTAAACAGTAAGTGATAAACTCAGTGAAGGACACAATAACAAAGATCTACCTTTTCACCTCTCTCTCCTTGTCTATCTCTTGGTCTCTCTGTCTTTCTCTCTCTGTCCCTGTGCTATCAATCAGCCTTGCGGTGATTGCTGTTGGATTACAGGGCTTTTGCTGTCTGCTCCCAGCGATTAACGTCAGGACAAATAAAATAGCCCTATATCCCTCCATAGTGACTGGAGTTAAGACTAGAGCCGTGTGCACAGAGAAACGCATTTGCACACACACACACACACACACACACACACAAAATAACATGCAGTGCAAAAATTACCCTTCATCCTAAATGCCATCAAAGTTAGCATCTATCCACAGCGGCTATAGATCTCACTAGGTGTGTGCATTCATTCAAACGTACATCTTGCAAACACAATTAAAAGGAAAATAAAATAACTCCTCCGCTGGGCTAAGCTACCTACAGCCTGCTTCCAGAGATGCTGACTGCCCACCCTTTCTTTTGGAAACACAGAGCTAGGCAGGCAAACCACTCCGCTGCACATAATGAACTCTGATGGCTGTGATTATCCACACAGTCTGACTGCTTGTCAAAAATCCCACGCTCAAATGGATAACCTGCTCCACTCGTGTATGAAACAGAAGTGTTGAGTGTTCTAAATATTAGAACAAACAACTTTGGTTAACGTTTTGCTGTATTACGCCTATTTTTAGTCGGGGATACAGAAAATTGTAATCCAGCATCTGGCATCAAGCCACCAATCATCAGGGTTTTGGCCATGCGTGTCCTCCATAACATTTCTACAAGCTCATACAGCAGGCTAAAAAAAGCTTTAACATCGACTGACATTCTGCTTCTCAGTTACAGAATGTATTTGGTAGCATTATACAGGCGTGATCTTCTGCTGTATCTACCTGTTTGTCCTTGTTTGAACCTCACACAAATATCGGCTGGAGATGAAGTAGTCAATGGTGGGTTGTGAACTCAGCTGAGGACAGTGGCAGTCGTGATAGATTGGGACTGGCTGTGGGGAATAATAGAAAACAGCAGAGCTGCAGAAAAACACAAACATACATACTAACAAACACCAACGGCACATGTACACATTCACCATGGAGACAACAAACCAGTTCCAGCAACTCGTGTTTATCTTCTCCCACTCCTGCACACACATGCAGAAACATGGCAGCAGTGGGCATTGACACAGTTCCTTATTCCCTGCCTTACAGACATTATTTATCACCTGCAGGAGTCTCCTCTGTGTGTGTCCATGTGCAGACAGTCTGACCTGATCTAGTGCCACCCTAACCTTATTAAGAAACAAAGTGATGACAACAGAGAAAAATGTTCTTCCTAACCCCTGCAGGTAAAATTGGCACCGCAGCAAACTGTCCCTCAATGTCTGTCCTTTAATGCACGTCTCAGACAGCACACGCACACACTCTGACAAACACGCCATCAAAGGGATCCAAGAAGACTCCTGCTGAGAATAAAGCCAAAGTCACCATTTATCTTCATGTCAGCTCCCCTTCTGTTGCCAGTCGCATTGTTTTTGTACCTTTAGCTAATCCATCCACAGGAATGCATCTCACAGCTGCTGTTCAGTATAAGAACTAACATAAACATGGTGTATGGCAAACAAGGGCATACAAAAAGAGACAAACAATAAATCAAACAGCATTTATTCATTGCTCAACAAGCATTACATTTATATTTTTTCATATTATTGCAGAAAAGTTTAGACTTATGCGTTTAAGGGTGTCTACACCAACCTTTAAGTGTAATGAACACAATTTAAAAATGCATCCACTGTGGGATTTCGCTTGCATGACTGTCACGCACATGTGTCCGTCAGGGTAGCAAGAGGACACTCTGTCGATCTCTCTTCACCTCCTCCTCATCTTCTTCCTCCTCTTCTTGTTCAGCGGTGACCCCGCCTCTGCAAGACAAAATCCACCAATCAAGGGGAGAACGTGTTATACTCATAAAACTCAAATACCTGCCTATGATCAAAGAACAGATGCTATTCTTTTTCTAACTACTTTCAGATGTGAATATCAAAAATTCTCCTCCGCCAGATAAGATTTGGAAAATGTAACAGATGGACAGCTGAAAGTGTAGCTTGTGTGTTAACAGGCATCTGTCATTGCCAAGGTGGAGTTTGATCAAATCCGATTAAATCTGAATCCAGTCTAGTCATTTAAAAATCTAAGTTGTTTGATTTGTGTGAAACTTACTAATTATCAAGTGAATAAATGGCTACCGTGGTAATAGAAATAAAACAAATAAAAGAAAACCAGGACGAAGGAGTAAATATTTTGATTAAGAAGTTGCTGGCCATTTTTTTTAAACACTCATACTAAAGTGATACAATTAACCCCTCCAACTGTCCGTACACTCTTCCTTTTTTTTGCTTCAGGCATTTAGGAGAAGCGTTTCCCGCCCTTATTCAGCTACGACGACACCAAATTACCTTGGGAGTCATAAAAAACACCGCCCACCTCCAAATAAGAACGAGTCACTCTATTGATGCCATCTCAGCCAGCATGTGCAGTGTTCTTGATTTTATTGTATTTTTTTTTTCAGTTCTACTTTTGTAGTGCATTTATCCACTTATTTTTTTCAAATGTTTGATGTGACTCACAGACTTAAACCATAACAATGTTACATGTTCAAATGTGCAGCTTGCAGAAGAATTTATTAATACAAACAAAACAGGGGGCATCTTATCCAATGATCTACTGTAATCGATGACACATACAAGCTAATTCAAACTTCGAATAATATAGCAAAATAGTAGTGACATAGCATTATATCCAGTTACAGCATCAGTTAAATGTAAGCGCAAAAGTAGCCTAGGTACTGTTTTCTCTAAAAAGTTTGAGTAATAATTATGATATCTTTGACTGTACAGCACTTTTTAAAGCACACAGTTACCTCACGTGCGTAAATACAAGTCATTCAGATGTTTCATAATTTTGCCAACACTTGGAAGAAGTCACTTGAATGACAGGAAATTGATTTGTATGTTCCAGAAAAGTCCAGAAATCACCACAAGGCTCAAGCCTGCCATGAACTGGAACACCAGCATCACAAAATTTCTTCTGGAGAAAAGTTTTATGGTCAGACAAGATAACATTTGAGCTATTTCACCATAATAGCAAGAGGCATGTTTGGAGGAGTAAAGATGAAGTTTTCAAACCAAAGAACACTGTACCAGTTGTCAAGCATGTTTGGGTGCTGTTTTTCATCAGTGGCACTGGTACATTCCACAAAGAGAATGGAATAATGAGGAAGGAGGATGACACCTAAATTCTTCTACTTCACATCAACAGTAAGATCATTGAAACTTTGGATATATGTATATATTTGAGCCTGTTTATATACTTTTGACCCTGTGTAGAATTAGAGAAAAACAGCCATTAAGCTGTATGAATTATACAAAAATTTGGTAAGTATAACATAACTGCTTCACACTTTAGTTTTACAACAACTTTGTAACTCTAGTAGAGGCTGTGCAGTATTGTCACATAACAAAACTGAAAAATATTTTCTACCTGGGATCAATGTTCCCTCTAATTTTTCATGTGTCTGAGCGAATGCACAAACTCCCTGAGTGATCCCTTGAACCACTGTGCGCAACAGCAGACGTGTGCACTGTGGTCACGCCAGCATCGAATCCATCCAAGTTACATGGTTTATTAAAATAATCAAATTACAGCATTTACATTTATGTTAGACTACTTTTAATTAGCTGCTTTAGCCCACTTACAATGGCATTTAAAGAAAATCTTGTTCATGACCTGTGTAGTATGGTAACACTATTGGAAGTAAAAATAACTTGAACTCCAATTTTGAAAAAACAACTTTCTTTCATTTTTTTTATAAAGCTCTGTCTATTATGAGTATGAGTCTGTGGTCTGGGAGAGAGTCCTGTAACTCTGACTGCAAAATACAGTATATAATGACCAATGTTGCGCAATTGATTATATAGTTACTTCTTCAAAAAAATAACTGAGTTTTGCAAACAGCAAAGTTTTTTGCAGCTGTTTACCTAAAAATGCAGCCAAGGCATTTTTTAAATAAACATTTCAAACTATTTACAGAACAATCAGGTGTTCTGCATCAAATTTGATGCCACACCTGATTATTTGTGCCACTCCAAAGAATAATTTCTGTCCACTATGAGATAAAGGAGAACAACACCTGCAGACCTGACAACAGGAGATGTATCACTCCTGTAACACCTGTAACATTCAGCAGTCGCCTCATTGTTCTGACACACACAACAAAACTATTGACTACACTACACACTAACTACATAAGATTTGTGCTAAACTATGGGCAGAAATCTGTGCCATCAGGAACTGAATTTGAATAAGTTAAATTCGAATTTGAATTGCTCGGATTGAATGTGAATTGTAACTTGAATAAATGCTTTTAAAAACTGAATATGAATTAGCCTAATTATTAGCCTATAATTAGCCTATATAATTAGCCTAGTCTCTGCAAGCATACAGAGGGGGTACTCTGAGAGGGTCCAAGATGACAACTTTGGAATTCTACTAGAAACAGTCGATCATATTTGTTTGTCAAAGCTGAATTCAGGGCAAACTACGCTAAATTAGCGTTTTTAGCTAGCAGCTACAATAAGCATAAAAGTTACCTTACAGCTATCATTTGTTAACATGACGCTTGTTCTTATACATGTAGTACATTTATTACCAACCTGAGAGTTTATCCGCTGGTCATTCGACATGACAAATGACTTCTGAAGTCTTAATTCAGCTCAAGACGCTGTAGATTCCCGTCAGTAACACTTTCGGTCCGCTAGTAAAACGTAGTTCTATTAATCTGCACTTGATTACTCTTGAACCGGAACTGGATGTAAGTCCCAAAAAACTGAATTTTAGAACTAAAATTGAATTGACTGTGTGCACGTTAGGATATGCTACTTCCGGTGCGGAAACTCCTGTGGGGAGCTTTGTTTCCGTTGTCCTATTCGTGCCTGGTTTATGGTCCAAAACAAGTTAAGCAAATTAATGAATCAAGCGGCGATTTACATTTCTATAGATGTCTTGGGCATTTACCCAATATATCTGTAAATGATGTTCATCGACTTGTTGATATTTTTTCCCTGCACCTCGGGGCAAAAGAGAAAAGGGATTCAGGAGAGACGTCACGGAGGAGATCGTCTGCAGTGATCAGGACGCAGGACACAATGTGACGTAAAAAATAAGCATGCAAACTTGCACTAAAAAAATCTGCGAAACCGCGAGGTGAAAGGTGAACCGCGTTATTAGCGAGGGACCGCTGTAATTTTTAAGGTAAGTCACAACATACCCTTCGTACATACTAATGTATAGAAACCCTTACCAGCAATCATTCATTTTTTGTGTGGCTTTTTTCACGGTTTGTTAACATGCTGTGTAGGTGTGTACTTGACTAGCTGATATCGACATAATGGGGGAAACATCTGTTTTGACTATTCTCCACCTGTAGTTTGAATGCTGAACATTTGCCTGTTTAAATCATAAGACCAGTCACTATACAGAGATGTGCTTCTGAATGTGAAATGTGTCTTCTGCTGCAGTGATGCAGTTCTGCTTGTGTTGAGTGATGTAAACAACTGATTGATCTAAACGCTTTAAACGTCAAAATTGATCATTAGATTTTTTATGACACAACAGTGGTGAGTGTCCCCACCTTCTGCTCTTTGTAACTTAACGCGATCTTTCTGTTTTCAAGTTTTGGACATGATTTTGGAGTATATGTTCACAGTAGCGATTGACTGCAAAGTAAAGCTACCGGAAATGTACCCCACATCCGGTCTCAAACCAGGAAGTTAGCATTTTCTCGTGCACAGGGTCAATTGTAGAACTGAAACTGAATGGTGAGAAGTGAATCTGAAATTATTCAAGAGCTAAAGGATAAAATACGGTTTCAAAGCAAATGAATTCATTTTCAAACTATAAAATTCAATTTCAGTTTAGTGATGATCATTTTCAAACCAATAAATTGAATTTCAAATTAGGCTAATTCATATTCAGTTTTTAAAAGCATTTATTCAAGTTACAATTCAGATTCAATCTGAGCAATTCAAATTCAAATTTAACTTATTCAAATTCAGTTTCTAATGGCACAGATTTCTGCCCATACTAAACATCGCAAATCTCTCACATCTCAAAACACCGCCGTCACTCCCCCGCCCTCCCCCCGCCCAGGCGGAGAGCGCCTTCGAGCGTTTTCCTTATAAAACGCCGTTTAACCGTTTCTTCCCGAAGTAAATATAAACAACGATAGTATTCAGCAAAAACAAACATTGCATATATTTTTTTATGATAACTCTGGTTTTACGTGGCCTGTCAACACAATTTAAAAACTGGTATAAAGTCCACACTTTTTCCGTCAATTGTTCCGTCTGTCCTGCTCACATCTCCAATGGTTGTACACGTTGTCATTGACGTGCATAAGGACGCTGTCATAGCCTGTCAACGACGTTGATTAGCTGCGTATATACGATTGTGAATCGCATCATTGGCTGCACTATGGGATAAGGTGGCATCGTTCTAATCCCAGCAGCCAGTCACTTACTGACTAACACTGCAAAACAGAATTGTTAAAGTTTTAATTTTAATTGCAATTCAGGTTAGATTTTTTTTGCGCGCAACGCAGATTTTCTGTGCGCAGAGACCGTGCCAGCAGTGCGCAATTGCGCACGCGCGCAGCTTAGAGGGAACATTGCCTGGGATGTTGTATCTTGGGTCGAGCTTTTAACCACTTAAGCCCTCCTTTATAACCATGTAACCCACCAGTAATTTCCTTTCACCTTTAGCTCTTCCTGTTATATGAAGCACAGCTATCGAGGGCTACAGTGACTCTCAGTTGTTTACTTTTGGGTCGTACTTCACCAACTGCTAGTATCTCCGTTAGAGTACTTTCATAGCCTGATTGTACTCAACAGTTATCAAAAATTATTATATTTCATGCATGTTTTGCAAAGCACTGTGTTTTGGCAGTGGTTCTTTTTATGTAGCTCCCTTTTTATGCAGTATATTGTCATCAGAGGCACACACCCTGCTCTTGCTCTTAGACACGTATGGGTTTGTTTCATTGTAGTGCACACGAGGGAACATAAATGTAAGGTGTCGCTATATCAAAGATATTACCATATGACACTTTTATATCGTGCCAAAATGCATACTGGTATTCTCATGGCTATGATATGGCACAGCACTAACACAGACTGTTTTACAACCTAAAGCTGCTCTCAAAGACGCACATGACTCGTACATGCTGCTGCATCCTCATACAGCTGCAAAACGTGAAGTAGTTTTTTGGTTTGGACTCATATAGTGTAACTACTAATAAAGCAAAAGCAGATATTCAGTTCTCACAATCCACCAACTGTGGTGCACGTCTGCCAAGCAACCAGAGACAGCTGAGTAAAAGCAGCGCAGATGATAAATAGTTGTCTATGCACACAGACCGCCCATAATATGCTGTGACAGCATTCGCTATTGTGTTGTGTGGGTGTACCTTGGAGTGTACATACTGTATACTATTACTGGAATATTCACTAAAACTAATGCATATTTTATATGCAAAAATGCACTCAAGTTTTCCTGATTATACCATTATTCAATATGTTTTGCAGCAGAATCTACATTACAGCTGAAATCCATTTACATACATTTACTCTGAAGTCAACGGGGTCTGAAAGAACAGCATCTCATGAAGACGGTTCATTGACCCTATACAAAAAAAAACAACTTGCTGAGTTGAACTGGCAAAACACACTGTACCTAATAAAACAATAATGTTACAGCCGTGTCAACTAACTGCATGACAAGATCCTGTCATCATGAAAATCCAGTGTTTCTGCATACTCAATAAATTGGACAATGTCACAAGAGTCCAATCTGCATATTAGGAGGAAAACCAGGTGAGGGTGGAAGCACAAGAGCTGCCTATAAAAAACAAAAACAACATGATACCTGTGAAGCTGAACCAAAGTAGCCAGATTAAGTCCATCCTAAGTGTGTGTTTGTGTATGTTTTAGGATGTAAGGAGCTGTTTTGGGAGCTCTCACTGTAGTATGCGTTAATCCGTTTATTACACGTCTCAAAGTGATATTCACAGTGCTCCGCTCAGCACAAGGCCTCTAGCGCAGATTATGCCCGCTCCACAAACACAAAAAAACATCAATAATGCACAGGCACACACACTCAGAGTCAGTTTCTGATATACAAAACCACACTGACACACTTCCTCTTTCTTTTCACACGCATACTCACATTAAGCAGCACATTAAGGCTGGATACCCAACATGCTGTCAAAGCTAAAGTCGTTCTGCTGCTAACGATCCATTACACACTCCACATATCCGACAGCGAGAGGCATTGATGCAGTACCAAAAAAAAAGAGGGATTACCCCCTGTCGTGGCCACTGGATTGGTAGTGGTGTGTGAGAAAGTGTAAGGGGTGAGATTCTAAGGTGGCCATGGTGAAAAGACACAGACACACAGTATGAAAACGGGAAGGTACGACACTTCACTGTTTGATTCGCACACTGGAGAAACTCACATTTGCCTTTCAGGATATCAACATCAAATGGACATTTGAACAACTGCCTAAGCATTTCTAGGTCAACTAACAACAAAAACATATACCCTCTTTATGATAAGCTCATCCTTGATGTGATCCTCGCACAAATACAATTGAAAGGCATGAGGGTAATCAAATTTAAGGATGTGTGTTACAAACCGTTTGGAAGAGGGATTCCTGCATTCATCCTGACTTCCACTGTGTTCTGTACCAGTACCTGGAGTGCCTGCTTGGGATGGAATATTTAAGAAAGGTTAAGAATTAATGGTTGAAATCACTCTTGTAATTCATAATTCATTCAAACACTTACTGTATTATTTTCTATGATCATGATCTGTAAAATAATATACTGATCACAGATAGCTATATCATGTATATGTGATTGCATACATGAAGGTTTTTGGTCTGCGCTCTTGACCATGAGTCTTAGCTCCTGCTCCAGGCTGCTCAGAGCATGTGCAGTTGTGTCTATCTCCAGGTCAGGGTCCTCACAGCCCATCTGGTCCACATTACAGATCTCCATGATCTCTCTGGCTGCTTGGGACAATGGACAAAATACTGGCGAGAATTCTGAGTCCACTGTGGGAATAAAGAAACAGCGAGAAAAAGGAGGGGACAAGGAATGAGAGGTTTGGCAACGGACAGTGCGAAATAGTTAATGCATACTTGCTAGATAGCCTGAAAGCAGATATGGAATAAAAGCCAAACAGGGAAATGGGTAGAGAAACGCATAAGCTGTGAATAAGGAAGGATGGAATGATGATCATGAGGCTGTACAGTAAAAGGTATTTTCTGAAAACAGCTACAGAGAGAGTGAGTGTAAGAAGTAGATAAGAACAGGTGTAGAGGAAGAATGGAGAAGGTAAGAAGAAGATGGTATGTTGCTCAGGATTCAAGAAAAAAGGGTCGATCACAACTGTCAGTGGAATGAGTGGTGTCTCATCCCACTCCTGTGTGAGCCACATCAAATTGAATCAGATTGAACATCCATCTCCACCTGCTCACAGTAAATTACATTGAGGCCCCCACTGAGAAGCTATGATAGTGTGGGTGTGTATGTGTGGCTGCAGCACACTGATTCCTCATGCTGCGTGCTGTCTAACCAGTTTCAGCTTCAGTGTTAAATCTTTCAGTCTTTCAATCTTCCATTGTCTCCTCACCTAGCCCTCCCTCCACCCACTCTCAGTGCCTGCCTCTGTCTTTCAACTGGCACAGAACCTCCACTTAGTGCTTCACAACCACCTGCACTGTCAAACTAAGCAGCATGGGAAGAATGATGCATGCAGGGGAGTGCTTCTAAGGCATGTGGACACACACATACCTCTAGACTCGATTTATTTCAATTTTAAAGCAGATGGCGCACACATATTTAGATTTCTGCTACTGATAAATCTCTGTGCCAGATTTAAAATGTATGAAGTGTAAAATGAAGAAGACTGAACTTTGATATCACTCAAGCGTTCCTTTGGAAGGTCAGATTTGAATAATTCCATTCTGCATGGACTGTATGTGGGATATGTTAATAGCCTTAAGACAAATTGAGATGTAATACCTAACATATGCATCTTTTTCATGTGATATATTATTATAATTGTACTGTAGGTATAACTGCTGTATGGAACACACTACAGTAAAGTATGGAGGGGAAAAAAGGAAACCAAATGCTGTGAACTTTAAAAAGAGTTCCCCACTTACAAACATGCTCAGGGGCACAATGCTATTTTAAAACATTAATTAATGGCACAAGGGAGCCAAAGCACAGATGTTTTGGCGAGAAGCCTTCTTCTGTGTGCTGTCAGACAGCACATTGGAGCGGCACACTGACAAAACAGCACAAGGAAGCACTCTGAGAGGGAACTTGCCGAAACATCAGTGCTTAGGTTCCCTTGTGAATTAAAAATACAGAAAAAATGTTGCACACTCATTTTGATACAATAGTTAAATATGTTTCAAAGTTGTTTTTATTTATTGTTTTTAACTAACGTACTCCTTGAACTTAAGTTTAAGCATTCAATCTGACAAGACTATTACTTGAGTGCAGCTTATGTGGGCCTCAAGAGTTGGAACTCTTGGATAAGATTAATTTTAAAAAAAGACTTATGAAAGCAGGTTTAAATACTTTCACAACATGGAAAGAAGTGAGTGAGGCAAAATAATACAGAGAACTGATCAACACCGAGAGGGAATTAGAAATCTCACTGAATAAAACAATTTACTCTCTGCTCTTTCAGGTTTCTGTGTGTGCAAATATGCATCAGCATAAAGAGATTAATGCACTGTTTCGTGTATCTGTATGAAAGGATGTATTCCTGGATCAACCCACAGTCCTGAATGTGTACGTGCTCAGTATACAGTGGGGCAAAAAAGTATTTAGTCAGCCACCGATTGTGCAAGTTCCACCACTTAAAATGATGACAGAGGTCAGTAATTTGCACCAGAGGTACACTTCAACTGTGAGAGACAGAATGTGAAAAAAAA